TAGTATTCCATTGTGTGAATATACCACAGCTTCTTTATCCATTCGTTTGTTGATGGGAACTTGGGTTGTTTCCAACTCCTTGCTATTGTGAACAAAGCCTCGATAAACAGGGGTGTGCATATATCCGCTTGCGTGTCAGTTATGGTCTCTTTGGGGTATATTCCCAGTAGTGGAATTGCTGGGTCAAATGGTATCTCTATTTGCAACTTTTTAAGAAAGTACCATACAGCCATCCACAGTGGTTGCACCATGTTACATTTACCCACCAACAGTGAATAAGGGTTCCAGTTTCTCCACAATCTCGCCAGACTTTGTTGTTTGCTGTTCTGTTAAATTTTGCTATTCTTACTGGAGTGAGATGATATTTCATAGTTGTTTTACTTTGTCACTTTTGACCTTTATAGCTTTGAGCTTTTACTTCCAAGTCTCTGATCCACCTTGAGTTGATTTTTGTGTCTGGTATGAGACATGGATCCTGTTTCAGCTTTCTACAGTTACCAGTCCAGTTTTACCAGCACCATTTGTTGAAGAGGTTATCATTTTCCCCTTTGATAGGTTTATTTCTTTAACTCTCCTAAGAGATTTTGGGTGTAATACAAGTGACCCCTGTATGACCTTCTAGAGAGTACCATCTTGGTCATCTTTTCTTCTGCTGGCCCTTCACCTTTCCAAGTATGATGTCCCATTGCAAGGAATAGCCTCTCCTAACAACATACCCAAAGTATGTGAAATGAAGTGTTGTTACCTTTGCCTCCAAGGAAAACTTTGGCTATGCTTTTTCCAAGGTACCTCTTTGTTCTTTTTGTAGTCTATGGGGTAATTATTACTCTTCTCCAGCACCACGACTCAAAGGCATCTATTCTTCTTCTGTCATCCTTATTCATTGTCCAGTTCTCAGTAGCATAGCAAAGGACTGAAAACACCATGGCCTGAATCAGACGCACCTTCGTTTTCAAACTGATGTCATTGTAATTTGAAGAGGTTCCTGACTGTAGACTTTGCAATTTAATCTCGAGATCTCCAGACTGCTGGTACCAAGGGAGCTGACTGTGGCCCAAAGTAGGATGAAGTAATAGACAGTTTTAAAGTTTGCTCCATCTGTAGAGTGGCTTCCAAAACAGCTTGCCTCTGGAAACCCTATGAACTTGGAGAAACGATGGAAGTTATACATGTATTCAGGTCTTTCGTTCATAGGGTCACTATAAGTCGTCTACGACTCGATGGCTCTTTTTTTTAAAATTTTATTATTTTTGTGTGAGTGTACCGTCAAATCAGATCTGACTGGTACAGGAGGAGATTGTCCCTCCTTCCCCGGCAGAGCATCTGGTGGATTCGAACCGTATGCCTCTGGGATTGCCACTAGGCCACCAGAGCTCCCCGACTCGATGGCTCTTAACAACAACAACAGTCATGATGTTGTGTATCAGTCCAGTGGTAAGAAATTTTGTTTTCTTGATACTGAGATGTAGTTCATATTGAAGGCTGTAGTCCTTGATCTTCTGCAACAAGAGCTTCAACTCTTCCTCACTTTCAGCAAGCACAGTTCTGTCACCTGCGTAGCACAGGTTGTTGAGTCTTCCTCCAATCTAGATGCCACATTCTTCTTTATAGAGTCTAGCTTATCAAATTATTTTCCCAGCATACAGATTGAAAGGGGGGAGCACATCTTTCTTAATTTTAAACCACGTAGTGTTCCCTTCTCAGGAACAGGTTTGAGGCCTTGAACACTAATGAGCGAAGACTTGGATGAGCTGTGGGAGAATATTGAGAATATCATCCAGGAAGAATGCAAAAAGGTTATTGCAAAGACATAAGAGGAAGAAAAGACCAAGATGGATGTCAAAAGAAACTCTGAATATTGCACTAGAGTGCTGAGTAGCCAAAGCAAAGGAAGAAATCAAGACATTAAGGAGTTGAACAGAAGAGTCCAAAGGGCAACGCGGGAAGACAAAGTAAAGTATTACAATGAAATGTGCAAGGAGCTGGAGTAAAAAAATCAAAAGGGCCAGACTTGCTCAGCATTTCTTAAGTTGAAGGAACTCAAGAACAAATTCAAGCCTCGAATTGCAACACTTAAGGATGCTTTGGGCAGGATATTAAATGTTCCAGGAAGCATTAAAAGAAGATGGGAAAAGTATACAGAGTCATTGCACCAGAAGGAATTGGTGGGCACAGAAGAATTTCATGAAACAACATATGAGCAAGAGCTTGTGGTGATGAAGGAGGAAGTTCAAGCTGCTCTGAAAGAATTGGCAAAAAACAAGCCCCAGGAATTGATGGCATTCCAATTGACATATTTCAACAAACAGGTGCTGCCCTGGATGTGCTCACCAAGTTGTACTAAGAAATCTGGAGGACAACCAACTGGCCAACTGACTGGAAGAGATCTATATTTGTTCCCATTCCAAAGAAAGGTGATCCAACAGAGTGTGGAAATTATAAAACAGTATCATTGATATCACATGCAAGCAAGATTATGCTGAAAATCATCCAAAAACAACTGGAACAGCACATTAACAGAGAACTGCTTGAAGTGCAGGATGGATTTAGAAGAGGTCGTGGCACTGGGGATATTATACTAATGTCAGATGGATCTTGGCTGAAAGCAGAGAGTACCAGAGGAATGTCTGTCTGTATTTAATTGAATATACAAAGGCATTTGACTGTGTGGATCACAACAAACTGTGGCTAACTCTGAGAAGAATGGGAATCCCAGAACACTTGATTGTGCTTATGCAAAGCCTATGCTTGGACCAGGAGGCAGTTGTCAGAACAGAGCAAGGAAACACTGCATGGTTCAAAATTGGGAATGGTGTGTGCCAAGGACATGTCCTATCTCCATACGTTTTCAATCTATATGCAGAACAGATCATCTGGGAGGCTGGGCTCTATGAGAAGAAGTGTGGCATCAGGATTGGAGGAAGACTCATCAACAATCTGTGTTATGCAGATGACACAACCCTGCTTGCTGAAACTGAGGAGTACCTGAAGATCTTGCTATAGAAGGTCAAGGACTGCAGTGTTCAATATGGATTGAAACTCAACATCAAGAAAACAAAGATTCTCACCACGGGGCTGATTGACAGCATCATGATAGATAGTGAAGAGATTGAGATTATTAACAGCTTCAGTTTGCTTGGCTCTACAATCAACACTCTTGGTACCTGCAGCCAGGAAATTAAAAGATGAATTACATTGGGTAAGTCTGCTGTCAGAGACCTCTCCAGAGTACTGAAGAGCAATGATGTCAGTCTGGAGACTAAGGTGAGCCTGATCCAGGTCATGGTCTTTTAAATTACTTGCTATGTGTCAAAAAGTTGGACAATAACTAGGGATTATAGGAGAATTGATGCCTTTGAGCTTTGGTGCTGGAGAAGAGTATTGAATATACCATGGACTGCTAGGAGAACAAACAAGTTCATTCTGGAGAGTGAAGCCAGGCTGCTCCTTGAAGGCAGAGATTCTGAAGCTTTGTCTGACATTCTTTGGGCATGTTGCAAGGTGGAATCAGTCCATGGAGAGGGACATTATGCTTGGGAGGGTGGAGGGACAGTGTAGGAGAGGAAGAGCTTCAATGAAATGGACTGATTCAGTGATTGTGGTGATGGGAGTAGGTGTATCAGAGACAATAAGATTGGCACAGGCTAGAACAGGATTTAGGGCTGTTGTACATAGGGTCACTATGAGTCGCAGGTGACTGACAGCACTTAACAACAACAACAGTGTTCTTTTGCTCTGTTTACATAATATGCTCTTGGTCTAGATATGTTGTTACTATGTACCATCAAGTCTGAACCGATTCACCCTCCAGTGGGTTGTTGGGGTTTTTGTTTTGTTTTTTTTTACTTTGTTATTTTTTGTATGTGTCAAATAGGATCTGACTGGTACAGGATATTGTCCCTTCCTTCTCCCGCAGAGCATCTGGTGGATTTGAACCGTGTACCTCTAGGATTGCAGTGCAGCTTCTTGCCACTATGCCACCAGAGCTCCCCAGCTCCAGTGAGTTTTTAGAGGCGGTAAATTATACAATAGGAGAGTGCCCATCCTCCTTCTATGGAGCAGCTATTGGATTTGAACCTCATACCTTTGTGTTGGCAGCACAATTCCTTACCACTAAGCCACAGAGGTTAGTACTGAGCCTAGGATCACATAAGCATAATTAAATGATTTGGGATTCTCAATGTAGAGGGATCAGGTGAACGCCCGTGGTTCTCAGTGGCCCATCTAAGGCTGGGGAATTGAGGTAGGCATCAGTTTCCCTGGGCTCACTTCTCCACCCCCAGCCCTTTGCCTAAATCCAGGATTAAGGGCAATTCAGGAAGGGATCCCCGGGTAAGATCAGACATTCGACCCCTCTCTTGCCAGGGGCCACAGCTCCCGTCCTGAGGCCTAGGAGTTCAGGGAACCCAGATAAGGACACTAAGCTTTGGACTGGCAGAGAGCAGCTGAGGCCCTGCAAAGCGGAGGGGAAGGACCTTAGTCCCAACTGACGCCTCCGGAGGGGCCCCTATGGGACTCAGCAACTTCCAGAATCAATGAGCCTCCATGAAACTATGTGGATCGTACACAATCTGAGCACGCCTATCCGAGGAGGAGCCGAGGTGGTTTTCCTCTTTCTACTACCTAGAAAGAAACCGAGGTGCAGTGGACCCCTCCCTGCCCGCAGTGGTGTTGGGGGGGAGAAGGAGAAGGGAAGAGCGATGGGCAGGCAGGGGAAGGGGCGGAGCCGGGGCGGGGCTGAGGGGGATCTTCTCCGAGGCCACCAGGAAACTCAGCCCCGCTGGGAGAAGGGTCCGGGCGGGAGGAAGGGTCGCCGCCTGAGCGAGGGCCCTGTTCCAGGTAAAAGACGCGCCTCCTGCTCTTGGGGCCAGCGGAGCCTAGATCCTGGAGGCTGGACCTCTGTCTGGGTGAGTTTCGCAGTCCCCTGCGAGTCTGGCTGGTCCCCTAGCTTGAGGATGAGGCTCTCTGGAAGCCCCTCAGGTCCCCGGGGCCATCTCCCCCTCTTTTCAGTAGTCTCAGTGACCTGGTTTCCCCAGGGATGTCCCTAAGGGGGGTGACAGGTATGACACTTGCCCTTGGGCGCGTCTTGGGTAGGGGGCGCCAAAGAGCAGTTTTTCTGGACCCTGCGGGATCCAGGACCAGCTGGGAGAGATTTAAAATGAGGTTTCAGGGGCAACTCATGCTTTTGGGAGATGGGCTTCTGGGTCTCTGCGGGAGATTGTGTTGCTGTTGGGCATTATTTCGAGCATGTTTAGAAATAATTGCTTTTAGGTACCCTTGACTACGTAGCTCCCCTCGCACAACGAAATGAAAACTCTGTGCCCACACCGTGCGAACAATCCTTGCCATGCCTGAAACTATTGTGGCAGCCACGCGTTAATTCATCTGGAGCCTCTTCCTATGTCCCACTGACCCTCCACTTTACCCAGCGCGATACCTTTCTCCGGGAGTGATGCCTCCTGAAAACATGGCCAGTGTCAGTGTGACCAAATCTCATCAGTCTTACTTCTAAGGAACACTCTGACTGCGCGTCTTCCGACAGATTTGTTGGACCCCGGACTTCCTTGTTTTGTTTGATTGCTTCTTGATATCTACAGGTTCCTCGTGAGCACAAATTGGGCATGTTGTTAGGAAGGGCCAGTCCTTGGAAAAACAGATCATGCTTGCAGAGGGACAGGGTCAGGGAAAGAGTCTCTCAATGAGATGACTGCAGCAGTGGGTTCAAGTACGTCAGAGATGATGTAGAAGGCGCAGGATAGGACGGGGTTCAGATACGTGGTTCATAAAGCCACCGAGTTGTACTCGACAGCATGTAACAACAACATGAAAACAAATAAGTAAATATTTTACCTCTTCCCGGTGTTATCCAGAATTTTTTATGATCCACAAGGTCAAATACCTTTACAAAGTCCACAAAACTCAGGAACATTTCTTTTTGTATTCTCTGCTTTCAGCAAAGAGTCATATAACATTTAAATGACATTCTTGGTTCCAGCTCTTCTTCGTGAGCTCAAAAATTGCACCTTGAATTTTTGGCAGTTCGCTAGTAGCTTATTGGTGCAACCATTTTTGAGTTGTTGTTGTTGTTATTGTTATGTGCCCTCAAGTCTCCTGTGACTCAGCGACCTTATGTACAAAAGTTCCAAACCCTGCTCTATCCTGAGCCAACCTTATTGTCTCTGACATACTTACCCCCATTACCCCTGTCATTGACTCAATCCATCTCATGGAGGGTTTTTCCTCTCTTGTGTTGTTCCTCCACCCTCCCAAGCATAATGTCCTTCTCCAAAAACTGGCCTCTCCTTGCAGCATGCCCAACGTATATTAGACGAAGAATCCTCGGAATTTTTGCCTCCAAGGAGCAGCCTGGTTTAACCCTCTCTAGGATGAACCTGTTTATTCTCCTAGCAGTCTATGGTATATTCAGTACTCTTCTCCAGCACCGCAGCTCACAGGCATCAAATCTCCTTCTATCATCCCTAGTCATTGTCCAGCTTTCTGATGCATAGCATATAATTGTGAAAACCATGGCCTGGATCAGGCACACCTTAGTCTCCAGTCTGATGTTGTTGCTCTTCAGTACTCTGGAGAGATCCCTGACAGCAGAGTTTCCCAATGAAATTCATCTTTTGATTTCCTGGCTGCTGGTGCCAAAAGTGTTGATTGTGGAGCCAAGCAAACTGAAGCTGTTAACAATCTCGGTCTTTTCATTGTCTATCAGGATGCTGCCAGTCGGACCAATGGTAAAAATGTTTGTTTTCTTGGTGTTGAGCTTCAATCCATATTGAAGGCTGCAGTCCTTGACCTTCTACAGCAAGTGGTTCAGGTCCTCCTCAGTTTCAGCAAGCAAAGTTGTATCATCTGCATAATGTAGGTTGTTGATGAGTTATCACCATCGAAATTTTACTTGTGTGGGATTAATACAGTTGATTATGTCCACATTCTTTTGGGTCACCTTTCTTTGGAATGAGCTCAAATATGAATCTTGTCCAGTCAGCCAGCCAGGTAGTTCTCTTCCCATGTCTTTGCATAAACCAATGAGCTCTTCTAGTGTTCCCTCCATTTGTTGTAGCATCTCAATCAGTGAATTCCTGGACCCTTGTTTTTTCCCCCAGTGCCTTCAGGTCAACTCAGACTTCCCCCTCAGTATCATAGTTGCATCATTCAGTATCTTACCCATAGAATCCAGTGTTAAAACCTGAGGCTTGAATTTTTCTTTGATTCTTTTACCTTGAGTAATATCAAGGGTTTTCTTCTCTTTGAATAGCAGTCATGTTGATTGATCATCCATGTAGGCATAGGGATATTATCCTTTTACTGACAGCATAGTCTATACTTCAGGATAGATCTTGAAATGCTCTTTTCGGCAGTGAATGCAACACCATCCCAGCCCAGTAGATCATATGATTGTCTGATTTCTAATGACCAATCCCTGTTCGTTTCACCACATAAATGTCTTCTTTAGGTATATTTCAAGCATTCTTCCTTCTTTTTTAAAATTATCAGTTAACTGGCATTTACTTCCTATCTTGACAACTTCCAGTTTTCCTGGACTCAGTGCATTTCCATGGTCTGATTATGTAAGATGTTCACAGCTGGTTTTCTCATCAGCTTCTTCACGTTGGTCAGTGCAGGTTCTGAGAGCGTTACTCCATCCACACCATTAAAATCCACTTTGAGGTTTTAAGTGTTTCCCATTCTTGTTGTGAGTGCTTTCCAATATGAGAGGCTCATGTTCCGGCACCGTGTGAGACAGTGTTCCTCTACTAGTCATCTGATTCTCACTGTTTCGTTTCTTCAGAAGGGGATTGCCGAATCCTCCTTTCTACTCTGTCTTAATTGGAAAAGTCCACTGAAACCGATCTGCCATGGGGAAGGATAAATGCTGCTGGAAGGTGAAATACCGGTGGCATCATTCCCAACGTCATAGCAACACATAGGCCAAAGTGACAGGTACGAAGTGGTCTGTATACTTAAACACAAAACCCTGCACAGTTGATTCTGACTCAGAGTGACCCTCGGGGCAGAGGAGAACTCCCACTGCCATAAATCTTTTTGCTTTAAATAAAATATTTTCTTTTGATTTTAACAAAAGTTCACAGCAAAGTTGGATTTTCATTCATTCATTGTTGCTCGCTTTCCCCCTTCCCCCTCCACCAGTTCATTCTTTTAAAAATTTCATTTTCTTTTTTTTTTTTCATTTTCTTTTTTAAAACATTCATTGTTGCACAATTTCCTCCCTTCTCCCCCGTCCCCTCCCCTGGTCTTTTTTTGCTATGTACCTCTTGTTCTGGACTGTTGTCATATGTATAATGTCAAAGCATATATTCTCTTTAAACAGTTCTTTCCTTCATCTGTTCCAATGTGATGTTCATTATCTATCCACTCTTTTCCTATTCTTCTCCCAACCCCCCATGTCAGTCCTGCTTTGTAACAGTGACGTTATACACTATTTCTCCTTTTGTGACTGAAATATTTCACTCAGCCTAATGTCGGCCAGGGTCATTCATGTTGTGTAATGTTTTATGAGCTCATTATTTTTCAGTGCTGTGTAGTACTCATTGTGTTAATATAGTTTTTCTATCCCCATTTGTTTGTTGATGAGCACTTGGGTTGCTTCTGTATCTTTGCTATTGTGAAAAACAGCAGTGAACATGGGTGTACATATATTTGTTTGGATGGTGGTTATGATTTCTTTAGGGTATGTTACAAGTAGTGGAATTGCTGGGTCAAATGCTATTTCTATTTCCAACTTTCTGAGAGAGTGCTAAACCACCTTCCAGAGTGGATGCACCATTTTACACTCCCACCAGCCCAGCAGTGAATAAGGGTTCCTTCCAATCTCTCCACAAAATGTATTGTTTGCTCTTGAATTTTGCTGTTATTACTGGGCCACTGCTATAAAGCTTTACAGAAGCTCACATCGTTCTGCATTGGAGCAGCGGGTGGTTTCACACCTTCAACCTTTAGGATAGTAATCAAGGTCTTTAAACATTGTATAACCAGAGCTGCTTGGTCTCTCTGTCTTCAAAAGAACTGCTGTCATGTCAAAACCTACTGCTAGCTAATCCTCCAGCAGGTTCCAGAAGCTTTAAATCATGTAAAAGAAGATTGCCTATCTTTCTCCCATGGAAGGGGTTGAGACTCTAATCACCTGTCAACACAACTCCTTGCTCACTAGCTAGGCTACCCAGAGCTTCCTTGTTGTTGTTGCTGTTATGTGCCGTTGAGTTGCCTGCAACTCATAGCAACCCTGTGTACAACAGCCCTAAACTCTGCTCTATCCTGTGCCAATCTTTATTGTCTTTGACACACCTACCCCCGTTTTCCCAGTCACTGAATCGATCTATCTCATCGAGGGTCTTCCTCTCCTGCGCTGTCCCTCCACCCTCCCAAGTATGATGTCTCTCTGCAAGGACTGATCCCTCCTGGCAACATGTCCAAAGTATATCAGACGATGTACGTTGGAGAGGTCCCTGACAGCAGAATTTCCCGATTTCATACGTCTTTTAATTTCCTGCTGCTGGTGCCAAGAATGTTGATTGTGGAGCCAAGCAAACTAAAGCTGTTAACAATCTCAATCTCTTCACCATTCATCACAATGCTGCCAATCAGCCGAGGGGTGAGAATCTTTGTTTTCCTGATATTGAGCTTCAATCCATATTGGAGGCTGCAGTCCTTGACCTGCTGCAGCAAGTGCTTCAGGTCCTCCTCAGTTTCAGCAAACAGGGTTGTGTCATCTGCATAACACAGATTGTTGATTAACTCCCCAGGTCTGTATATTGTTGTTAGGTGCTGTTAAGTAGGACTGACCCATAGCTGACTTTCCAATGAGTATTCAGAGGCAGTAAATCACAAGGAAGGAGATTACCCATCTTTCTCCCATAGAGCAACTGGTGGGTTCAAA